GTGAGCAAGTGACTGGTTGAGTGAGTGAGTAAGCGAGTGACTGGTTGAGTGAGTGAGCGAGTGACTGGTTGAGTGAGTGAGTGAGCGAGTGACTGGTTGAGTGAGCGAGTGACTGGTTGAGTGAGTGAGCGAGTGACTGGTTGAGTGAGCGAGCGAGTGAGTGAGTGAGCGAGTGACTAGTTGAGTCCGTGAGTGAGTGAGCGAGTGACTGGCTGAGTGAGCGAGTGAGTGAGTGAGCGAGTGACTGGCTAAGTGAGCGAGTGAGTGAGCGAGTGACTGGTTGAGTGAGCGAGTGAGCGAGTGACTGGTTGAGTCCATGAGTGAGTGAGCGAGTGACTGGCTGAGTGAGCGAGTGAGTGAGTGAGCGAGTGAGTGAGTGAGCGAGTGACTGGCTGATTGAGCGCGTGAGTGAGCGAGTGACTGGTTGAGTGAGCGAGTGAGTGAGTGAGCGAGTGACTGGTTGAGTCCATGAGTGAGTGAGCGAGTGACTGGCTGCGTGAGCGAGTGAGTGAGTGAACGAGTGACTGGTTGAGTGAGTGAGTTAACGAGGGACTGGCTGAGTGAGTGAGCGAGTGACTGGTTGAGTGAGCGAGTGAGCGAGTGACTGGTTTAGTCCATAAGTGAGTGAGCGAGTGAGTGAGCGAGTGACTGGCTGAGTGAGCGAGTTAGTCAGTGAGTGACTGGCTGAGTGAGTGAGTGAGTGACTGGTTGAGTTCATGAGTGAGTGAGCGAGTGACTGGCTGAGTGAGCGAGTGAGCGAGTGACTGGCTGAGTGAGCGAGTGAGTGAGCGAGTGACTGGTTGAGTGAGCGAGTGAGCGAGTGACTGGTTTAGTCCATAAGTGAGTGAGCGAGTGAGTGAGCGAGTGACTGGCTGAGTGAGCGAGTTAGTCAGTGAGTGACTGGCTGAGTGAGTGAGTGAGTGACTGGTTGAGTTCATGAGTGAGTGAGCGAGTGATTGGCTGAGTGAGCGAGTGAGCGAGTGACTGGCTGAGTGAGCGAGTGAGTGAGCGAGTGACTGGTTGAGTGAGCGAGTGAGTGAGTGAGCGAGTGACTGGTTGAGTCCGTGAGTGAGTGAGCGAGTGACTGGTTGAGTGAGCGAGTGAGCGAGAGACTGGTTGAGTGAGTGAGTGAGCGAGTGACTGGTTGAGTGAGTGAGTGAGTGACTGGTTGAGTGAGTGAGTGAGCGAGTGACTGGTTGAGTGAGTGAGTGAGCGAGTGACTGGCTGAGTGAAGGAGCGAGTGACTGGTTGAGTGAGCGAGTGAGCGAGTGACTGGTTGAGTCCATGAGTGAGTGAGTGAGTGAGCGAGTGACTGGCTGAGTGAGCGAGTTAGTGAGTGAGCGAGTGACTGGCTGAGTGAGCGAGTGAGTGAGTGAGCGAGTGACTGGCTGAGTGAGCGAGCGAGTGAGTGAGTGAGCGAGTGAGTGAGCGAGTGACTGGTTGAGTGAGCGAGTGAGTGAGTGAGCGAGTGACTGGTTGAGTCCGTGAGTGAGTGAGCGAGTGACTGGCTGAGTGAGCGAGTGAGTGAGTGAGTGAGCGAGTGACTGGTTGAGTGAGTGAGTTAGCGAGTGACTGGCTGAGTGAGTGAGCGAGTGACTGCTTGAGTGAGCGAGTGACTGGTTGAGTCCATGAGTGAGTGAGCGAGTTAGTGAGTGAGCGAGTGACTGGCTGAGTGAGTGAGTGACTGGTTGAGTTCATGAGTGAGTGAGCGAGTGACTGGCTGAGTGAGCGAGTGAGTGAGTGAGTGAGCGAGTGACTGGCTGAGTGAGCGAGTGAGTGAGTGAGCGAGTGACTGGTTGAGTCCGTGAGTGAGTGAGCGAGTGACTGGCTGAGTGAGCGAGTGAGTGAGTGAGCGAGTGAGTGACTGGCTGAGTGAGCGAGCGAGTGAGCGAGCGAGTGAGCGAGTGACTGGTTGAGTCTGTGAATGAGTGAGCGAGTGACTGGCTGAGTGAGCGAGTGAGTGAGTGAGCGAGTGACTGGCTGAGTGAGCGAGTGAGTGAGGGAGCGAGCGAGTGACTGGCTAAGTGAGCGAGTGAGTGAGTGAGCGAGTGACTGGCTGAGCGAGTGAGTGAGTGAGCGAGTGACTGGCTGAGTGAGCGAGCGAGTGAGTGAGTGAGCGAGTGACTGGCTGAGTGAGCGAGTGAGTGAGTGAGCGAGTGACTGGTTGAGTCCGTGAGTGAGTGAGCGAGTGACTGGCTGAGTGAGCGAGTGAGTGAGTGAGCGAGTGAGTGACTGGCTGAGTGAGCGAGCGAGTGAGCGAGCGAGTGAGCGAGTGACTGGTTGAGTCTGTGAATGAGTGAGCGAGTGACTGGCTGAGTGAGCGAGCGAGTGAGTGAGCGAGTGACTGGTTGAGTGAGCGAGTGAGTGAGTGAGCGAGTGACTGGCTGAGTGAGCGAGTGAGTGAGTGAGTGAGCGAGTGACTGGCTGAGTGAGCGAGCGAGTAAGTGAGCGAGCGAGTGACTGGCTGAGTGAGTGAGCGAGTGGGCGAGCGTGTCAGTAC